ACAACTGAGCTAAAACCCCAGCTCTTGCAACCTAATGTTTTAGAATCCACCCATTTTTCTTTGAAGTCTTGAGTACATGTTAATGCACAGAGCAACCTCTGAGGCTCTTAAGCAAAAATCAACATGCATTAGAAAAGCAGCCAAAGAGCTTCTCATTATGGTACTAGACATTTCAAAGCAGTCAAAGCACAGAATATATTGAGTCCCAGTAATTTCTAGTTATAGTAAAAAACAGTATTTTAGCTCTGCTGCAGAGCAGTGACAGGAGTGATACTTGCATACCACCATAGTACACTTCCAGCATCCCAGGGTGTACAGTCATGACACTTATCAAACTCGAAAGCATGACTATATTGTAGAAATAATAAAGACACCTTAATTCTGTCTATAAAAACAAGAGCTCATGCAATTTAACCATAGCTCAAGTAAGTAAGGAAACAAACCACTCAGCCGTTCAAACTACTTTAGTAGTATCATGGATGGGAGGGAGTAAATGGGCTGTAATTCTTATAGAATAATACAATGAAAATAACCTGTAATTAATACTATTATAGGAAGAAATATAGGGTAATTTTAAGTTTGCTACGAATAAACAAAAAGAAATTATTTTCAAGTACTTAGAAATAACTTCATCAGGAGAATTTGCTTTCAATTAACATGTCAATTAAAATTATTATCTTCTCATTAAATGAGGAAAATAATTTATATGCACACACACACACACACACACACACACAAAACCCCATAAAACAAAAAAACACTTAAAATGTGCCCGATAGACAAAGAGAATTCTTTTCTAATTTAAAAATGACTCTTTTCCTTTTCTAAACAATGACTGTAATGACCTTGGTTGGATGTAGCATGTGATCCCACTGATTTTGTCATTGTTCTCTCTTAAGAGAGAGGCGAGCAGCCCTCTGAGTAACTTGAATACGGGCATTCTGGAAAACCCCAAGGAAGCATATGTGATACAGCAATTGTTAAGAGAGAAAGCCAAGGCTCTAGTCAGTGCTGTGAGTCATGGGAATGACCATGTAAAATAGTACTTCTTCAGAGAGCCACAGAGCTTCCTACAAAGCCAAATACATGTCAAATATACAATCCAGCCATTCTACCTGTAGATGTTTACCTAATCTTAATGAAAAGTTATGTCCACCTGAAGACTTGCACATGAGTATTCACAGCTCTTTTATTTGTAATAGCCAAAAACTATAAATAATCCTAGTGTACACCAACAGGTGACTATGGTATATCCATAAAATGGAACACTAGTCAGCGGTAGAAAGGAATGAGCTATTGATATACGCAATACAATGGATGGACTTCACAATAATCGTATGTTGAATAAAAGAAACTGACAAAATGAATATTTATTGTGATTCCACTTATGTTAATTTCAGAAAATATAAGCTACGCTGTAGTATAGAAATCACATCAGTTGCCTATAGAAACCTATTACAAAGTGGCACAAAGACACGTTTTGGGATGATGGATATGTCTACTATTTTGATTTTGGTGATGGTTTCATAGGTATATCAGAACTCATATATATGACTTATACATGTGTCAAAACTTAACAAGTTATATATTTTAAGTATATACAATTGAGTATATGTCAACTGTACTGGTGTACGCCTGTAATCCCAGCACTCGAGAAGCTGAGGCAGGATTACCACGAGAAGCTGAGGCAGGATTACCACGAGTTCAAGGCCAGTTTGGGCAACGTAGTGAGTTCAAGGCCAGCCTGAACTACAAAAGGAGACTCTGTCCCAAAAAACCAAATAAATAAATAAATGAGTCAAAAGTCCAGGGGGAAAAAGAAAAAGAGTGGTCTTTCCAGAGACAGGCTTAACACAGAGGACCACATACTCTTGTGGAAGAAGGTACCTGATGACAAGGAACCATCATAGAAAAACCAAGGAGAAAAAGAGGTGAAATTATATTCTATAATGAAGAGGAGGGCACTGAGCCACCATTACGTTCTTCCCACTACTTGGTAAAGGGTTTAGGGAGTCTGCTGAATAGGTGAAAAAGTGGTGCAGCTATATCCTAGCACCTTGGAGATACAGGAGAGGAGAGAAAGCCTACCACATTGGTCCTTCTCAAAAGAAGGAAACTGAGGATAAGCTCCTGGTTTCTCTCAAGATGATCTGTGCCAGTGCACCAGAGTCAAAGCAGGCAGGGAGATGAGGACTTCAGATGAACACGAACTTAGGAGAGCAAGGCTCCTATTTGATACCCAAGGCACTACTACCCAGAACAGTTCTTCACTGTATCTGGCCCTAGAGTTCACCAAGGGTGTTCACACACAGGAGGAAAGCCCAGGTAGGACACCAGATGGGGAGATTCTGCCAGGCTGGAGAAAGGCACTTCTGGAAGTATTCTGGGTTGTTGGGTAGAAGCCCATACAAAGAACAAGGTGAGCAATGGGGGACATGACTGTGGAGTAAGGTAAACTTGCTGCCTTGCATTGGACCAGCAGAGGCCACACAGGTGGCTTAGTTGTAAGACAGCAGCAGAGTCAGCCACCAAGGTATTTCCTTCAGGGCTCCTCAGGGCCCTCTCAGCTCTGCCAGCAAAAACCTGGCTGCACCTGAGCTCACCCTCTTTCAAGGGCACCAAGGGAATTAGTTACCTAAAACCTTCACAAAGTCAAAGTCAGAAGTCTTTCTCAAACATGGCATGTTTTAAATTTGTTCTTAAATATTTCCTGAATTAGGGACAGCTAATAATCATCATATTTCTAAGATCTCAGCCTTCCTCTTGGGTGTATCATGGTAATCAAGAGACAGAACACTGTACGGGGAAGCAGGAACTTTGACTTCTTTTACCACATTGTAGTGCAAAACTTAATGCTATCCCATGAAGACAAAACCAAGCCCTGTCTGTGAGAAGAGACTCCTAAGTAATGGGATTTTGGTTACTTCCCAGTTTACTTCTGTCCTTCATGCTAAAGAAGTGCAAGATCGCTCTTAGAAAATCCTTTATTTCAGGGAGGTGGGCATTCTCTCCTTTCCTTTTTTATTTTTTCCCAAATTATTTTAGGCATTTAATGGAGAAAAAACTCTACTCCTGTTCCAGAAAAAAATATCAAAACTCCTTTCATAGGATTTCATTGGGACCTTATGCAAATCACTTAACCTCTCTGGGCCTCACTTTCCTCAACTGTAAAATGAGGGGATTCGATTAGGACCGAGATGTTTGAGTCCTGTGAACACTTCTTTCTTCACTGGATATTTGAGAACCTACTACATCCCAGGCATTGTCCTGGGCACTAAATCCCAGAAATTAAAAGACACTCAAGATCCCTGTAGATTCCAGAGACCAAAATTAAAGAACTAAACAACTTGGCTTCAAAGACTGCCCAATAAATAAAGGTTCACAATCTTCACAGTAACAATTATGGAAGGTGTCAGTGGCCCTGGGGAACTGTGACTTAAGAATGCTAAATTTCCAGGGGAAGCAATCTGTCTGTAACTTCCCTCCCCAGAATTTCAGCCCCACGTGGCCAGATTTGTCATTACAACACTGATAACCATACCTGGTGTACAGGCACATGACACAGAGTGCACAGGAAAATTTTGTATCCTAACTTTTGAGCAATTCAGGTTAGTGTCACCACTGAATTCTAAAGTCGCACATATACACGAGTATTACATTATACTGGAATGTAGACGTGTCATGCAATAGTAAATGAACCCCTTGCTTATCTTCAAGTCATTCAAGTCCAGGAAGCTTAATAAGGTTTTTCTCTCAAGCTTTAAGTGAGAAAACGATAGTTTTCTATTGCAAGGTACAGAAAATACAAAGGTTCCAAGTCTGTTGTGGTCACAGTAAACTTGTAAACAGCTGGGATTAAAACCAGTATGTTAATTTAATAGGTAGTTTCTCAAGGTACACTAACCGGCGCTGCCAGCCGAGGACCCTCTCTAATAGGAACCACGCCAATTTCTCTGTGAAATGCAGTTACCATTCTCACCCCTGAAGTCAGAAGTGCATGCACCCAATTTCCAGTAGCCTCAGGGCCCTGGACTCAAAAAATTACACCTGCAAGTCAAGCATTTTCCTACACTGCCACACAGCTGCCACATACAGAAAGCAACTTATCTAAGCTGTGCCCTTCAGCCCTATTTAGGGGCACCATTAATGATTTCAAATTATAACTGTTGCTTATCTCAAAACAATGATAAATAGAGGAGTTAAATTCATGATGCCTCTCTTCTAAGTCATTTATCTGCTCTCCTCTCAGGGGCAAAAAGATGTTGAGACAAGTGTGAACCTGCCAGAGCTTATTATAGATGCAGCCCTCCTCTCCCTCCCTCTTTTCCACGGCAGCACCTCTCCCTGTCTGGTCTTCCTGAATTGAGGCAATAGCCTTCGTAAAGGGGCTGTAAGTGGTTCCTTCATCAAAACAAGGAGGGATTCACCGAGAGGGAATGAGTCGGGCAGCCAAGGCGACAACCCCTCCCTCATCCTGGCATTCAATTCACCCCTTTCCCCAGGTCAACACTAGCTCGGGTTTCAGGGGCGGATGACTGTGCCCACGCACAGACAGGGGCAACCCAGCCACAGGCGAAACCTTAGTGGCAAAGAAGGGAGACCCAGCACGACTGACAAAGCCACAACTATTGCGATGTGCAATATGCCCCACAGGCACTGGACTCGTTGCCAAAATCTCCCAGATTTATTTTCAGGCAAGTGACTAACAACCTCATCTCCATAAGTCATTCCAACCAAATGAGTCGCCGGTTCCACCAGCCCGACTTTCCGCTGCCCTCTGGCTGCCCCTCCCTCCTCTCCGCCCGGCTAGTAAACCCAGACAGCACACAGACAGAGCAACCGTGCCCCAGGGGCGCAGAAGGCCGGCCCTTCGGCCCAGCCCCCACCCTGGGAAAGGATGAATGGGGCCGCGGGCGGGAGCGCGGAGCAGGGTCGTGCGGGCTGCGCGCGGGGTGTGTGCGAGTGTGTGCGCGCTTGGGCACGCACCCCGGCCAACTTACGGAGGTGGAGTTGGTCCTCGCCTGGCCCTGGTTTCGCACCTCCTGCTCCCGGAACTGCAGCCCAGCTAGATGCTTTTCCAGCGCCTCCCAGTCCATAGGGGGTACCGGGGGCTCTTCTGGGACGCAACTTCCGCCGTCCGGGGGTTGGAGGCAGAGCCCCCCGACCACCGGGCCCCGGACGCCGTGCCGGCTCCCCGCCGGCTGGGGCTTCT